TCTGACCACGTGTCTACATTAGATGTGTTCTTTCAGGTTTTGTTACCTGTCTGCTGAGAATTAATTTGCAAAGTTTCTTTCCAACCTGTGAATCCCTTCTGCAGTGTCCCTATCTGGCCTGGGCAGATATATTCATTTGAATTATGAATTCTTAGTACCAGCCCATGTTTGGCTGCATCTATTCCTCTTTTTCATCCCTTCTATCACAAAAGGACAGGATATAAATGCACTCAATTATCACTGGACTGGAAATATTCCCTAAGTTGGCTGTTAGCAGGCAGTGATACCCACAAATAATGATCACTGGTGTCATGTCAACACAAGCAAAAGCAATTATTTTTGAGCCATCTAACACCACAAAAGCAGATGTGGGAAGAAACTACCAATTAGAGATGAAAACACTTAAGGTCAGATATGCAGACTATGATTAAACTGATACTTTATGCACGATTTTTCTTTTGATATTTTGTTGAGCTCTTTCCCAGTTTTATTAAATCTCTGTGGTGTTGGCACCACTTTGGTCGCAGGTTTCAGTCCACTCCTACCTGATTGTTTGACTTGTGTTTGTAGAGAGAGTTGGTTGTCTGGACCCTGGGGATGATCTGATCTCCCAAAATCCAGAAATCCTGAGTGCATGAGGCCAGCAGTGCTGCAGCAGCACTCAGGTGTAATTGCATTTTGTCTACTGCTCCTCACACAGTCCTTGTTTGTGAGAAAACAACCCCAGAGCAATCCCTGTGCCCAGGCATCTCCTCTCATCTGTCCCCACACCCCAAACCCCATCTCATCCACACAGTGTGAGCATAACCCTAAATAATTTCGGGTGAGGAGAGTGAATTTCTGCAGTTCTAAATGAAAATATTGTTCCCAGGCACATCGATCAGATCTGGGGCAGCAGAAATGGAGGCAGCAAAGTGTCTGTGGCTTCCCCAAACAACAATTCTCTTGGCTCACACCCCTTGGTCCCTCTCTGGGTGCTGACCCATCCCTCCAGCAGGTTCAGATCCTGGCAGAAGTGACAGCAGCCACCACTCTGTCCCAGCCTAAAGCACCTCAGCTTTTCCTTCCCACAGTGTTCATCCTCTTCTCCAGTCCCAGCTGGGATCTGTCCATCCCTAGCTCACCTGAACCCTCCCAAGAGGCTCCCGGAAAGCCAGCAGAGGTTCCTGTGCTCCCATGAGGGAGCCCCTGGGGTGTCCCTCGGTGGCACAGCCCCAGGCACTGCCAGCCCAGCGCCTGCCTGACCCAGCACAGTCTTGGGGAAGGGGGCAGGGATTTGGAACAGGGCAGGAATGGGATCACCATCCCTGCAAGTGCTCAAAACCCATGTGGCTGTGGCAGCCGGGGCCCTGGGTTCCTGCTGAGCACGGTGGTGCTGCTGGGGTGATGGATTTGCTGATTTTAAAGCTTTTTTTTTAAAGCTTTTTTTCCAGCATTAACAATTCCGTTTCTCTCTCTGACTTCCAGCTCAGCTGCTCTCTGTGATTCTCTCAACTCCCCAAACACCCTGAAGCAGTAAATTGGCAGTTTAGTTCTGTGTCATATGAAAATGCACTTCCACTTTCTTGCAGCCTGCTCTGCTCTCCCTTCCCTCCCTCCCTCCCTCCACCCCGGGCTCTGCTCCCTCCAAATGGGCAAGTCCCTGCTGATGGAGTGTCTCCTTTTGTGGGAGTTTAATCCTTCAGGATTTAAGAGGAGTGGGAGCTGGGTGCTGTTTACAAGATGAAGGCCCACCGTGGATTTCTGGAGTGGCAAAATCCCGTTTGCAGCTTTATTCTCTGTCCCTTTGCTCTTGCATTGCTAAGCACTGAACAGTTATTTGCAGGAAATAACTGTGAGGACTCTGAGCTCTCTTCCCTGAGTGATAATAGTTAATTTTGAAGCCATCAGTGTGTGCATCTGTAGCTGGGGTTGTTTTCCTGAGTGCACTACTTTGCATCTATCACCACTGAATTCCTGCTGCAGTGTCATTGCCAGTCACTTAGAATGATGGCATCCTCCTGCAGCTCTTCACTACCAGCCTTTATTTGCAAGACTTGAAATGGCTTTGTCTTATGAGTTATTTTGTCAGCTCACCAATCATTTGCTCTTTCAGATGCTTTTTGATATGGTGAGGAGTTAAAATTCCATCAGTAGCCTCCTTACCCCTGTTGGCTGTGTTTTAACTGGTTGGTAGCCTGTGAGACCTTTCCTTTTAGCTGCAGCAATACTGGTTTGGGGAAGATAAGGAGCTGATTGGTCAAAATCCATGCCTGAGGATACAGGGACCCCACAGAGACAATTCCTGCTCCCTGCAGGGCCTGCTGCTGGTGTGGAGGTGCCTGGGGACATCCCCTCTCCAGCCCCCAAAAAGGAATTAATGGGGATGAGCTGCTGTGTTTAACCCCCGATGGAAACTGAGCCCCACCTGCTGCTCCCTCACTGCCCAGGGGTGGGATGGGGCAGAATGTGGGGTTAAAAGTGAGACTGAGACCCAGACAATGCAACACGGAAAGCCAAAGCTGCCCAGGCAAGGAAGCCAAGCAAGGAATGCATTCCCTGGGCAGGCAGGGGCTCTGTCACACCCCGTGGTGACTGGGCAAGGCAAACACCCTCCCTACCAACATTCCTGCCTTCTCCTGCTCCTACTGAGCAGGATTCCACAGGCTGGGACACCTCTGGGGTCAGCTGGGACAGCTCCTTGTCCCCCAGGCTGGTCCCTGGCCGTGCCCACCCTGCCCAGCAGGGACTGACCCCTGCAGTGACCAGCACTGCTCAAACCCAGCCTGGGGCAGCTCCTGGGGACAACAGCAGCACCTCCACCCCACCCACACACACACCAGCCCAGACCGAGCTATCCTCACAGATCTGAGCTCTCTAAAATGGGTTAGAACTTTGAGATTGCTGTTCTTTCCTAACTGATGCTGTTGGGGAGTGACTCCTGTCCTGCTGGAGCCCCTGCCAGGCTGGTTGCTGCCCCCTGAGCTGTGCTGCACACCCTGCATATGTGGGGTCCTTTTGGGGTGAGCCCATCTGCTCCCAGAGACCTCTTCTTATTTTATTATTTTTTATTTTTTTATTCCTTCATCGACTCCTCTGAACAGCTCTTCATCTGCTGCTTCAGTTTAAGAGTCCTTGCAGCAATTAAGAGACTGAAGCATCTGTTATATGAGGAGAAGCTGGGGTATTTAACCTCCAAAACCTGGGGTTTGGCTCAGAGACAGCTGGGATTTGGATAAATTTTGGTTTATTGGTGTGTTTAAATCCCTCCTGGCCGAAGGGAGAGTCAAAATCTTCATAGTGGTGCTGACCTGGGGTTTGGCTCAGAGACAGCTGGGATTTGGATAAATTTTGGTTTATTGGTGTGTTTAAATCCCTCCTGGCCAAAGGGGAGTCAAGATCTTCATAGTGGGGCTTAGTGAAAGAGCAAGAAGCAAAGGGTTAAAATTGAGATACAAATTTCCCTTAAACTTTAATTTCATTTCATTTCACCATCTTATACTATTTTTAATTTAATTTTTTACTGTGAGTGTGGTTGAACACTGGCACACATTGCCCAGACAGGTTGTGGAGACTTCAGCCTTGCAAATATCCAAAACCCCAACTGGACCCAGTTAAAAACCTGCTCTGGGTGACCCTGCTGGGAGCAGGAGGGTGGGATGGATGATCTCCAGGGACATCTCCAGCCTCAGGGTTTCAGTGATTCCACCAGGTTGGAACAGTGAAAGCCTCCCCAGGCTCTGCAGGAAATATTCCTGCAAATTTGGGGTGCTTTGGGCTGGCCTGGCCTTCCATGAGCACTCCCTGCAGACCTTGATCATGTTACAGTTTTATAGACTCTCTGGTAAGTTCCTGGTTTCTGGAAAAGGCTTTATTATTAGCTTTTATGGTTTTCAAAAAATTGCTTCTTGTAGTACTTTTTGACTTTACCATGGCTGGCTTTTGTGCTCTTTTCTGTTTTTCTCATTTGGACAAAACTTCCACTTTCTGAGGAATGTAATTTTACTCCTAATAATCTCCATTACTCTGCTATTTAACCATGAAAGCTCTTTCTGGCCCCATTTATGGCTGATATATATTTATTCTCAGCCTCTAATATGGTTCCTTCATGTAATTTCTTTGCCACCTCCAAGCAGTTTATCTTTCTGGCGGCTGCTTTTAATTTAGGTTTAGCAAGTTCCTTGTCCTTTCTTGGGGTGGGATAAATCACCATCCCAAGTGCCTGTGAACACAGCCAGTTTGGATTGCACACCTGCCTTTAACACAAGGGTAGTTCAGCCCACAAATCCCATTCCTAATATAACAAAACAGCTGTTTTCTTGCCTGGAAACCATAATTCTGTATAGGACTCCAGGGGAAAAACTGAGGCTTAACTTCATCCATTTCACCATCTCCCCACAATTCTGCTTAATCTTCTGAGGGATGTGTCCAATTAGTTGCATAACTAAATAAATCCTTTTGTGTTAAAGGACTTTGTGAAATCACCTGCTTGACTCGTTTGCCCAGGAACTGCTATGGAGGGTCCTTATTGTAATTCTGATCAAAATGAACCAATGTTTTTATCTGAGCTCTGTGGGGCAGGGGAGAGGAATAACAACTTTGCTCCCCAGGAATAACAACTTTGCACCCCAGGAATAAAAACTCTGTTCCCCAGGAATAACAACTCTGCTCCTCAGGAATAACAACTTTACACCCCAGGAATAACAACTCTGTTCCCCAGGAATAACAATTTTTCTGCCCAAGAATAAGCTCAGCTGGTACTGCTGAAATGAGGAGAATTCCAGCACCGAGAGCCCAACCAACCCAGCTGTGGCTCTGCTGCTGATTTATACTGATTATTTTGAATTTTCTAATGTTCTTGATGCACCTGGCTCTTTGGGGCTGGGAGCTGCACACAGGCACTCCTGGGCCAAGTCCCAAATTCCAGAGGGCATCCATCAGTGGGATGGATTTGGTGCCTGCTCAGCACATGGGGGTGTGACGGGGGGACTGAGCAAGCCTTGTCCCTTTGTCTCTGCCAGAACATCCACCTGGTGGCCAAGTGGCTGGGCTCCCTGGAGAAGAGGCTGGAGCAGCACAGCGAGGGCAGCCACCAGGATTTCCGCGTGTTCCTCAGCGCCGAGCCGGCGCCGTGCCCGGAGAGCCACATCATTCCCCAGGGCATCCTGGAAAACTCCATCAAAATCACCAGCGAGGCGCCCACCGGGATGCACGCCAACCTGCACAAGGCCCTGGACAACTTCAGCCAGGTAGGAGCGTGGTTGGGTGTGCTGGAGCTGCTGCAGCCCCTGTGCAGCACGGCCGTAGTTGGGTTGGAGACAATCCAAAGCAGCACACTCCATTTCCAAACTGGTTTTACTCCACCATGTGTTGCTGCAGGCCCTCAGCTGGGGAATAATTAGCATTGACTCCATGATTGCAGAAGGCTGATCAATCTCTTTATTCTATCATATTATACTATACTGTACTTATTGAGAAACTCATCCCCTTACAGACAGTCTGATACAGCTTTGACCTAATTCGTCAATCCATCCAAACACCATCCACTGTCCAATTAAGAAATCACCCTTTGCTAAACAATCTCCATAACACATTCCACGCGTGCACAATAACAGGTGCAGCAAGTGGAGATAAGAATTGTTTCTCATTCTTTTCTCTGATCTCCTCTCAGCTTTCCCCAGGAAAATGCCTGGGAAAGCTGTGCCTGCTGCTCTCTGTGGCCAGAGAGCTGCTGCCACATAGCACGCACACTTTTTATACATTCTAACAAAACTCATACATTTACACTTTACTCATTGGTCATGAAGGACAAACAAAGTGCTCATTGGAACAGGCAGTTGCAGGTTTCTCATATTTTTCCTTCTTTCTTTCTTGGTTTCTGTGTCAATGACCTTGGTAGGAAATTCTTTCAGGGGTAAGCATGGATTCTCTTCTCAAACTTCTCTCTGGCTCACAGAGGTCGCTGTAAAACCTCTCCCACAGAGCGTGATGGACATTGCCTCCCCAGCCCCCTTGTAGCACAGAGCCTCTGGGTCCAGCACCCCCCTCTGCTCTTCCCCACAAGCCAGGCACAGATCTCCTTCCAAGCACTGGTTTTCCCAAGAAAGGCTTCAGGTGATCTGAGAAGCCTCTTTCCTGAAGCAGGGCCTGGGACACCAGACTTCTGTCCAGTTTAATCATATTCTCCCCAGTGTGTGATCACAGAATCACAGAATTAACCTGGCTGGAAAAGACCTTTGAGATCATCAAGTCCCACCACTGACCCAAAACCTCCTCATCAATTGAACCACGTCACTGAGTGCCACGTCCAGTTTGTTTTTAAACACCTCAAGGGACGGTGACTCCACCACCCCAGAAAGGCTCTTTCAATACAGAATCAAACTTCTGACTGCAGCATCGGGAGAATTTGTCGTGTTTCAGTTGATTTCTCTGTCTGGTGCCTCCTTTCTGGGCTGCTGAGTGATATATGATATCCAACACCCACAGCTGTGGGAGGTGAGCGGGTTAAACCTGACTTTTCTGCCTGCTGTTTAACAGGGGTTAGAGGTTCAGAACAGCTGATCTGCTCACAGAGCAGCACAGGGAGATTGGTGTTGTGTGCCCAAAGGCCATTCAGCTCAAGACCTTGCTGACACCAGGAGTGTTGCAAATCAGAGCTGGAAGCTGCCTGCAGGCAGGAGTTGCTTTGCCAGGATGTAAATTAGGCCATGTGAGAGTGGCTGACCCACAAGAGCAGCCCGTGGCAGGATGCTCGTTTTGTTTATTGCTCAAAAACCCTCCTGTCATGGCAGGCACTGACCCCTGTCCGCCTGTGCAGGGAAACAGCCCCGTGTGGGGAAGAGATGGAAATATTCCTGGTGCCCAGAGGGTGTGGATCAGTGTCAGAGTGGCTGTTAAGGCCGTGGTTGAATGAGCTCTGCTCTCACCATGGGACAGGAGCAGGGAAGGATCCCATCCCTGCAGGACTCCCTGGGAACAGCCCATGGGCCCCAAGGCAGGATGGAGCCAGGGGGGCTCAGCCATGACCCCATTTCCCTCAAGGGCTGAGCACTCGTGTTGTTGCTGATTCCTGTCCTAGGGACACTGAGTCCCATGTCCTGCCACCCTGACACTCCCTCACAGCCAGCCCTCACAGCAGGACCCCATCAGAAGACACTAAAGGTGCTCTCAGCCCTCAAACTGCCCTTTAGATCACTGGTGCTGACATTATTGCAGCCTCTCCATCCAGCTGGGAACACCCTCTGCAGATCTTGCAGGGTTGTTTTCTCTTGTGAGTCCCTTCCAACCCAAACCATTCTGTGATTCTCTCCACAAAGTTTCTTGTTATTTGGGGTGAGGCAAGAGCAGCCTCAAACAATTGTGGACCCTGGGTCATGGGGCAGCTCACAGCTGGTTTTGCACTCAAATGTTTTGTGGAGAGAATGCCAAGTGCAGGAGGGAACATTGCTGAGCAGGTGTGGGGGAAGGCACTATGCAAGGATTAATGCCAGTGGTCAGGAAAGATTATTCCATACTTATCTACTGCCATTCATCATCCTGAGCTCCACAAAATGTCCTGGAGAACAAGGGAGGGGAAAACCTTCACCCCAAGTAACATTTTCATCTTGCCTCTGCTCATTTCAATCAATAGTAATTAGCATTTTCTAAATTGCTGGAGGATTATGAAACATCTCTTATCAGAAATCCTGAAGCGAGTGGGTGGGGTCCCTTTTACACCTCATTTCCCTGCTTTATACAGAAGAGATGTTCAAATTTAGCTTTCAGCTGAAGGCTACAAAGAAGGCCTTTTATTCTGTACAAGGGATATTGTTCTGCTTTGTAGCTGAAGAAGAATTGACAACTGAAGAGAGGCCGAATGAGAATGAACTGGGTTGTTCTGGGGATGTTTCCTGAAATGAGAAGGGTGTTCTGCACGCATTTGAAGCAGTTCTCCATCACAATGCTGATAAAGGGAGCTTAGAGTGCTGCCTAATCCAGGAGGAAACAGGTTTTGGGATGTTCTTGATTGTCACGTGCACTTGGTCAATGTTGAAATTCATTACCCTTTAGAGTAATGGATTCCCCGTTTCCTGCATAGACCCTGAGCTCTGTAGTGCTCTCAGAGGATTAAAGGTCTAACACGGCATTTTTTTCAGATAAACATTGGATGGGGCTTGGAGCAACCTGGGATAGTGGAAAGTATCCCTGCCCATGGCAGAGGGGCTGGAAAAACATGGACTTTAGGGTCCCTTCCAATGGAGAATTCTGTGATTCTGTAGCTCCCTCCCCATCTTTCGGGTGAGGGATGTTGAGCACATGCAGGTGATGGGGCGTTGAGTGGGTGCACGTGTCCTTCCTTCCCTGTGTGTGTTCCTGTGCAGAGCCACTCGGAGCTCGGAACAGCAAATATGAAGTGAGAAAATATTTGCTAGAGTTTGCCAATAAATCTGCAATTCAAAGCCACTGACTTTGAAAACTAGCACATGTGTGTGATACAAAAATGAACTGGAAGACAATTTGGTCAGCCTCTTGTCCCAGGTAACAAGTATCAGCAAGGGAGGTTCAGGATGGATGGTAGGAAAAATATCTAAAGTGGAAGGTTGGTAAAGCTCTGGAACAGGCTGCCCAGGGAAGTGGTGAAGACACATCCCTGTAATTGTTTAAAAAATAAGGTTCACAATTAGTTGTGCATTGGGGTATTTACTTGAAGGTTGAACTTGATGATTTGGGGGAGTTTCTGAGCCTTAACCTCTGATTCTGTGATTCATCCTGTCCAAAGCCCATCGTGTTTGGGTTCCCTGGGAGTCGCTGAGGCTGAGGGCAGCTGTCCTGTGTTGCAGGACACCCTGGAGATGTGCAGCCAGGAGAAGGAGTTCAGGAGCATCCTGTTTGCCCTGTGCTATTTCCACGCGGTGGTGGCGGAGCGGCGCAAGTTCGGCCCCCAGGGCTGGAACCGCCCGTACCCCTTCAGCACTGGAGATCTCACCATCTCTGTCAATGTGCTCTACAACTACCTGCAGGCCAGCTCCAAGGTGGGGGCACCATGGGGGGGGCTGCCTGGGGGCTTTGAAGCTGTCCTGAAATGCCATTTTCTTGGCATCTTTGGGTTTAGAACTTCGCAGTTTGGGGTGCTTTTGGGAGGAGATGGGAGATCTCGCACTGTGCTGTGCCCCAGCTTTCCTGGGGCAGGATTTAACTCCTGCCTGATGTTTGTGTGCTGAGGGGGGAGCCCTGAGGCTGCAGGGCAGTGCCTGGGTTCAGCCCACCCTGCTCCACGCCCAGGTCCCGTACGATGACCTGCGCTACCTCGTGGGTGAGATCATGTATGGAGGTCACATCACGGATGACTGGGACAGGCGGCTCTGCAAAACCTACCTGGAAGAGTTCATTAAGCCAGAAATGCTGGAGGGAGAGCTCTGCCTTGCTCCTGGATTTCTCCTCCCAGGGAACATGGATTATAATGGCTATCACCAGGTAAGCTCTTTGTTTGCTGGCATTATTTATACATGTAAATGGAATGTCCTCCCTAACTGCCCCATAGTCTGCCTTAGGAGGCAGGAACAGGGCTGCTGTGCTCCTGCACCGTTCCTCTTATTTCCCATTATGTTGTGTTCCTGTGGATGCTTCAGCATCCCCCTGGATGAACCAAGTCTAATGGTAATTTGCTACTTCATCATGGGCTCATTCTGTTCATGCATGAATAGACCAACTGTATTGGTGCTCGAGACTTAAGTGGGGCTCCTGTAAAATTACATCCACATACTGTTTGCTAAAATGGCCCTTTCAAGCTCCTTTTATCATCAGTTTTGATGAGAATCACTGAAGGGTCTTGTTGATCTACTTACTGATCTCATCTGCTCTTTGTACACAAATGCAATAGCAGAGAGAGGCGCATCAGGCTGGTTTTGTTCATAAAACTTAACTACTGGAAGCTCAATTCCCACAAGAGATTTCAGGATGCTGATGCTGAAATGCACAGCAGATAATTGCTAGAGAAGGTCCAGCCTGAGACACGGAGCCAAGCAGAACTCCAGCAGTTAAGAATTTTCCCAGCAGGAGCAGAAGCAGCTCTGTAAACATTTGCACTCTCCTTCCTCCATCACTTCCCCGGTGTTTCAGCCACAGGCAGAGCTGGGTGAGCCCGGGCTGACCTCCTGGGGAGATGATTCCAGCACTGAAGCTCTGCAGGCAGAGTGCCCTGGGCTGTTCCTAACGTGCTCCTGAATGTCTCTGTGCAGTACATAGACGATGCCCTGCCTCCAGAGTCTCCCTACCTGTACGGCCTCCACCCCAACGCAGAGATCGGGTTCCTGACGCAGAGCTCGGAGCGGCTCCTGCGCACTGTGCTGGAGCTGCAGCCCCGCGACAGCAGCACGGGCCAGGGAGCTGTGGGCACCCACGAGGAGATGGTGAGAGTGCTCGGGGCAGAGGGCACCCAGGAGGAGATGGGGAGAGTGCAGAGGAGCAGTGAGCACCCAGGAGGAGATGTGAGAGTGCTCAGGGATTGTGGGCACCCAGGAGGAGATGAGCAGAGTGCAGAGGAGCAGTGAGCACCCACGAGGAGATGGGGAGAGTGCAGAGGAGCAGTGAGCACCCAGGAGGAGATGTGAGAGTGCTCAGGGGCAGTGGGCACCCAGGAGGAGATGTGAGAGCGCAGAGGAGCAGTGGGCACCCAGGAGGAGATGGGGAGAGTGCTCAGGGGCAGCTGCTGGGGTTTGATGCCTGTCTCATCCATCAGGCTTGTCCATGGTTCTGTGCTCTGCCTCCGCCTGCCTAAAGCCTGGTTTTATGCAGAACATCACCCTGGTGAGATGTAATTGAGTGTTGGCAGTAACAGGACAGTGCCTCTTAATTACCCCGTGCACTGCAGAGCCTTCGTTATCATCCTCTGAAGGTGTTGCAAATAAACCTTCCCTGAGCAGCAGTCCCTGTGCACCCCTGTGACTGGCATAGCAATGGGCCCTGGGCACACTGCCTGCCACCCACAGCGTGCCACCCAGAGCTCAGCCCTCCTCCTGCTGCTGCCATCGTGTCCCTCCAGCTCCCCAGGGCCTTGTAATTCCTTATTTCCAGCTGAACTCCTTTGCTACACCTGTGTCCTGGGCTGATCTCAGCCCTCCCTGTGGAAACTCACAGCTCATTAAAACACGGCCCAAACATCCCTGACAAGATCTGGAATCAGCCAACACATGCTCAGGTTTTCACTCCTGCAGTCTTAAGTTGCCAGCTCTGTGCTTGAAGATTTGCAATTTAATGAATGGCTAGTTGCAGCTCATATAAAGCTGTGGTTTCACAGTTTTTCCTTTGGCTTGGTATGAAGCTGGGGGACTGACTGCCTTCCCCTAAGGGACTCCTAGGAGTGCCCAGCATGATCAATTTTCAGTCCATACTCGAATTTGAGGTGATGGGAATAATCCAGGGGTAGCAAAGCCAAACAAGGTGTTCAGAGATAGCAAACGTGAGTTCCTCTTCTCCCCTCCCACTCCTTTTTTAATGAAACACAAATAAACTCCTCAGCCCAGAGAAGCAAAACGATCAGGGAGTGCCCCAGCAGTGGTGCCACAGGTCATGGCCACCCTGCAAACTCCTGGTGACAGTCAAGAACACTCTCACAGGAGCACAGAAGTCCTCATGGCTCTCTCTGGGAATAAAATCTGCCTGAGAGCAAGCAGAGTGTGACCTCAGTGCCCTGCCTTGTGCCTGGGGACATGCTCCCACAGCTCATTTTCTTCCTGAAATGATCTCTGTCATTATCCAAGCTGTCCCTTCCACTTGGTCCTTGGATGGGAGTGAGCAAAGCCTTGTCTCAACTCCTCCACTGAAGGATATCCAGCCCCTGCTTTGGCTGACGTGATTTTAGGGAGCTTCCAGGGAAAATGTGAGCCTGTCATTTTTCCCGAGGCTCTGACAAGTCCACTTCCTCCCACAGATTGCTGAGGTCACACTACAGCAAACGAGCTGTAATTGCTGTGAAGGAATCAGAGCCAGAGGGACTTGCAGGGGAATTTCAAATGAGATATTTCTGTGGTGTCCCCGAGGTGCAGCTGAGGAGCTTTTCCAGCTTTAGCCACCTGTGTGGCTGCAGTAACAGCCCACACATCCTCACTGCTGACAGGAGCCAAGGGTTGGGAAGAGCAGCAACAGGAGGGAATCGGAGTACAGAGTCCAAAATATGAATATTGGTGGCTCTGGCTGTAAAATTACCCTGCCCTAGCTGGCGCTGGCCCTGCGTGCCAGGTTTGGCACTTGGGATAGCAGAATTTTAACTGTGTTATGTGTGCCCAAAGGGTCCCAGCAAGCAGAAGTCTTGCTCAGGTTCCAGCTCAGAAGTAAAGCAAAGCTTTGAGTGAGAGCTTCCACATTAAACCTGGGAAATGCAGCTGAGCCCATGGACAGCAGGGGCTTCATGCCTCATTGTCAGAAAGGGGTTTATTAAATTTTTTAGACACTACAAAGATCCTCTTGCATTGGATGGAGCTTTCCCTGTTCTGTACTTAGAGTTCTGAAGTGACCAGAAAATAATTTTGTTTTGTTATGCTTTTCTTCCATGGCTCCATTAGTCCGGAATGCCAAATTCAGCTTAAAATTCAATTTCATGTAATCACCTCTCTCCATCAATACACTAGAGAAAACCAGCTCATGAGCTGTGTTGTCCTGAGGCTCAGCTGAAGCTCCAGCCCCATCCATCTCCTTGTGAGTGTGACCTCGGGAGAAATAAGAGAGCCAAGAAGAGAGGAGGCTGCCACATGTCATGGGGACATTTTAAAACCATCATTTTGCAAGCTGCTCATCTGACATTAACTTCTGTCAGCATTTGGATTTTAATGGGACGGGGAAAACTCTTTGAAAGGTGCCCAGGGCTAACAGGGATGGTTTTGGAGGCACTGACAGGACAGAAGGAGTTCTCCCAGCTCATGCTGTGAGCCTAGGGATCACTCACCAGCATCCCCCTCTCTCCTCCCTTTGGCACAGGTGCAAGCCCTTCTGGAAGAGATGTTGGAGAAGCTCACAGACGAGTTCAACATGGCAGAGCTGATGGCCAGGGTGGAGGAGAGGACTCCCTACGCTGTGGTTGCCCTGCAGGAGTGCGAGCGCATGAACGCGCTCACGACTGAAATGCGGCGCTCGCTCGCCGAGCTGGAGCTGGGCCTGAAGGTACTGAGGGGCTGCAGGGGCTCCCTAGGACACAGAAAAGAGGATAAAGTGGGGGTTTGTTAAAGGCCTTAAACAGGAACACCTTGGGCAGTGCAAAGACCAGCAGAGGCTGCACCCAAGATGGGTGATTGATGCCTGGAGAGGCTCCTGGACAGAGGCTGGACAGAGTTAAAGAATAAAGCAGGGATTTATTAAAAAAAACCCTTCAAAGGATCCACCTTGGGCAGTGCAAGAGCCCAGCCAGGGCTGCACCCAAGATGGACCCAGCATGGACTCAGAGTCACGAGTTTTCACACTTTTATCAGTTTGGGTCCATTCCCACCTTGGGTTCACTGTCCAATTGCAGCTCCAGGGGATGCAGTCCCACCCTCCCAGGTTGCTCTCCTCCATCCCCTGTTGTTTGCACTTTTTAGGGCTGAAGCTGCAGCGGTGTCCTTGGTTCTGGGGCTGGCAAAGGATTGTTGTGTGTGCCTGAGCTGTGAGGAGAGCTGCTGACACTTGGTATGGAGCTCAGAGTTCTGTACCAGTGCAGTGCAGAGCCTGGGAAATGGGAAAGATAAAACTGAAGGCATCACAATGGTCACCAGTTTTTTATACAGATATCAGTTTGGTCTATTTGCATATCAAGGGTTAATTCTCCAATTACAGCTTCAGGTAATGAAGTCACATTCCCCCAGTTTGCTCCCCACAATTCACTTTTGTTTATGCTTTTCAGGGCCTGTGGTGTGTCCTTGGACCTCGGGCCCAGAGAGATTGCTCTGTCTGACCAAAATGTGAAGGCAGTTAACTGCAGTTTATATAGAGTTTAGAACTATGCACTAATGCACTACAGGATTTGAAAAATATAAAAGCTAAAATCTTTAGGCATCAGTTGGAGAGCTGGAAAATCCTGCAGGGTGCTGCTCAGGGAATAAAAGGAGTCACAGGGAAGAATTTGTGGAGGCATCCTGGCTCCACAGGGCTCACAGGTGGATTTGCAGTGGGACAGTGTCCAAGGCACACACAGCAGTGCTTGGCTTTTGGGAACAGGGCACGAGCACTTCTGGCCACCCCAGACTGTGGCACATCAACAGCAGGTCACTCACAAACTGAGACATGACCTACTTAAAGGTGAGCCAAAAATCTCACCTTTGCATAAAATGTCCAGGAGTGGGGGGAGCTTGGAACAAAATATCTCAGAGGCACAGGCTGAGCTGAAATCAAAGGCTGGTTTTGTGTGAAGGCACAACATGTCCAGAACTGTAAGAGAAAAAGGCTCAAGTCCCAGGAGTTTTGGAAGAGATACAATTCCCTTGCTGGGTGTGAGTCTCCTGCTCAGGAGTCCCCGTCCATGGGGCTCCACTGCAGTGATCTCCACCTGGTGTGGAAGCAGCTGATCCCATGGATCTGCTCTGCTCCAGGCAGGGATCCCGTGGATCTGCTCTGCCCCAGGCAGGGATCCCATGGATCAGCTCTGCTCCAGGCAGGGATCCCATGGATCAGCTCTGTCCCAGGCAGGGATCCCATGGATCAGCTCTGCTCCAGGCAGGGATCCCATGGATCAGCTCTGCTCCAGGCAGGGATCCCATGGATCAGCTCTGTCCCAGGCAGGGATCCCATGGATCAGCTCTGCTCCAGGCAGGGATCCCATGGATCAGCTCTGTCCCAGGCAGGGATCCCGTGGATCTGCTCATCTTTGTCTCAGCCCAGGACAGGGGTGTCTGTGTCCCCCAGCTGCTGCCTTTGCCACACCAGCTGGGATGCAGATTTCTGTGTTCTGGGTTTGAGGGAGGGCTGTGATTGATGCTGCATGCACTGGTAAGAGAAGTCACCTCCTGCATCCCCCCCAGGCACTCTGGGGCACAAAAGAGGAAAGGCTCTGACTGCCCCTTAGGGAAGGGCCAGCACGGATCAGGCTGCACTGCCCGGGAGTGAGGAGCTGCCTGGCAGTCCTGGTGCTCTCTGACAGCATTCCCCCTCCACCTTGTCACCCCCAGGGACCCTTCCCCACAGCCAGCTGCTATCCATCCCTTGGGAATGCAGCACAACAATGCAGCCTGGAGCTGGCAGAACAAAGCCTCAGCACTGCCCTGCCTCCCCCTCGTGCCACAGCTGGGTCCTGGGGGATCTCCTGGCCATCAGGCAGTGGACATTCCCTGCTCCATCACTTCCAGAGTGGCAGGCTGTGATCCCTTCTCACGGGGATGCTCAGCTCCCACAGCTGGTGTGGAGCTGAGCCTGAAGGGTCTGGCCTTGGACCAGCCCGTTCATAGGAGAGCTGAGGGTGGGCAAGGAGGGCCTGCCCTGAGGTGGAATGACATCTCAAACCTCCCCCAGGGGCAGCTTGGAAAAGAAACCTTCAGCTGCCCGCCCTGCACGAGAAAGGGCAGGCTTGGCTCGGGGTTTGGGCACCAAGCTGCTCCCAAATCCCAGCTGCAGCAGCTGCAGATGTGCGTGCACTGCATTTGCTGCTGGTGCTTGCTAAAGCAGAGCTATCCTGGACACAGCTGGTGGGTCAGTGTGTACAGCCCTTTTTGAAAGAAGCTGATATTTATGTAGTCAATTATCATAAACAGATTTCTCTTATTTTCTAGCATAAGGCAGTGGAATTGAAAATTCCATTTCCTGAGACAGGTAAACAGAAGTGATTTAATGTTTCAATCCCAGAGCCCCAAACAAGATATAATTGTGACTTGGACAAGGGGTGGCAATTAGATTTAATGTGGGGAAGAATGTGCTGTTTAATATTGGTAGGGGAATGAGGGGATGCAGAGTGTGCAAATAAACCACAAACAAAATTAACCAAAATTAACAATAACACAGGCTGCAAACCTCTCCCCAAACCCTGCCACAGATCATGGCAGGGAAGGAGATGGGGACTGCAGAAAAGGCTCCTCAGAGGGCTGCAGCAGTCCCTGGGCTGGGATTCAGAGACAACCTGGGACTGGAGGAGAGCAGCACAGCAGAGCAGCATTTGGCATTTCTGGTGTTTGGCAAATCTGGTGTTTGCTGCAGAGACACATCTGAAGGCTCTGAGAGGCCATCAGTGGCAGTTCCAAGAACCGTGGAGTCCTTAAGGCTGGAGAAGCCCTTTGAGATACCCAAGCCCACCCATCACCCCAGCAGCAGCACCATGCTCACCCCCAAAACATGGCCTCAGGTGCCACGTCCAGATGGTTTTTTTGGGCACTTTCAGGGCACTTGGGCTCAGTTGGTGCTGACACCACCAAGGCTGGGGGTTCAATCCCTGGTCTAAGAGTTGGGCTCGATGATACTTGAGGGCCCCTTCCAGCTGGGAATATTCTGTCAGCCTGTGGTTGGTGACTCCACCGCAGCCTGTTCAGTGCTTCACAGCCCACTGCCTGAAGAAAGCTTTCCTGATATCCAAACCACGTTTCCCCTGGCACAACCTGAGCCCAGTTCTTGTGTCTGCAGCCAAAGGTCGCATGTGGATCCCTGAAGAGTTAAATTAGACCTTGTGCATGACCCAAACCCTGCTCAGCGTCCCTCACGTCACCTCCCACACCTGGGGGACCACGGAGCAGCCAGAGGGGGCTGATGGCTCTTCCTGGTGCTACCCTCCCTTGACTCTGGGCTTACACTGAAGAAATCCTGCTTTAATTGCCCTTCCTGACAATTAAAGACCTGTTAAGGTTCGTTCATCTCTGGGGCTGGGGGCCTGCACTGACAGCACTCAGAGGAGGAGAGTTTGCGAGCCAGGCCCCACAGAGCTGAGCAGAGAATAAATAAAGCCCAGAGAAAACAAGGCTTATTGTTTTTAACTGACTGAAGGATCTGCCAAAAGAAGGCGATTTAGAAATGTCACGCCTAATTTGAATTTTTGAATAATTCATCGTGTCGTCCTAGCGGAAAGTGATTGTTTGGTCCAAAAATAGGAGACATCCCATTAGGAGGAAGAGAAATTGCAATAGACTGGTAGCCATCAGAAATAACTGGCATGTTGCATTTCAAAGCCCTTTGTTCTGGCTGGCTTGGGTGGAACCAGAGGCTGGGCTGAAGCACTTGCATGTTAATGTTGTACCAGCCTCATTTTTTGCAAGCAGATCCTCTGGTTTGCAATTTGGGTGAAGGATGAGCCTCCAAAATGAGGATAATATGTATTGTAAAATAACAAAGACCAAATTTTGATCTGCAAGGTGGGTATCAAGTGAAAATAACCTGAACTGAGGAAACAGTTTGTGCCTGTAGTGTGTTCATCTTGAGGGAATGGCTGCAGGCTGATTAGGATTTCCTTCAAGGGTGTCTTTAAATGAAAATTACTCCCAGCGTTTGTGAGGAAAAAAAAATTTAAAAAGTAACTTGAATAATTTCTGATGCACTTTAGTATTCAGCATCTGAAATGCAAATTTATGCATAATTGTGTTTGGACAACTCTATGAGATTTCTGCTGTAGATGCTTTGAACCCTCACAGGAGACTCAAAGCATGCTTGAGTGCGCAGACTTTAAAAATTGCTTTTCTCAAGCCTTGCTGAGAATTACATTTGCTAATTCATTTGTTTCCTGAAAGTAAAACTAGACATGATATATGATCGAGGAGGGGTTGTCTTTAAATCAATTTGGCTGCTTGCACACATTCTGCCATATTCTTACCCACGTCAAAGCACTTCCAGGAGCACAAAATCCTCCTGTTCCAGTGTCCTGCTGTGGCCAGGGCAGGGCTTCTTGTTCTTCCTGCATGGTCTTGCCATGGCTTCAGCCCAGCCCGTAGATGGTTCCTCTTTGTGTCCAGTTTCTCCTGAGGATGGAGATCCTGATGGACATTTTGCGAGGTTGTTCCTCATATTTTAGTGTTAATTGCAAGTGCTGCTTCTTCCAGCTTTTGATTTCACCTCATTTGCTATTTTAGCTTCAAAACCCATCTTAAACCCTTTGTACTCAAGTTTTCTCTTTCCACAAGAAATGTGCTCTCCAGGATGTCTCTGAACCCCAGCTCAGGGACTGCTGCAGCCCTCTGAGGAGCCTTTTCTGCAGTCCCCATCTCCTTCCCTGCCATGATCTGTGGCAGGGTTTGGGGAGAGGTTTGCAGCCTGTGTTACAGATTTTGTTAATTTTGGTTAATTTTGTTTGTGGTTTATTTGCACACTCTGCATCCCCTCATTCCCCTACCAATATTAAACAGCACATTCTTCCCCACATTAAATCTAATTGCCACCCCTTGTCCAAGTCACAATTCTGTGGCTGGATTTGGTGATATCAAAGGTCTTTCTCAGCTGTCAGTGTGTCCCACAGGGCATGGCCAGCACAGGAACAAACTGCAAAGATCTTGAACTGCTGAGCTCTGCCAAGCATTGCTAAACAACTGTGGGGACTGCTTTAAGAAGATTTCAACTTTTGCTAAAGCTTCATAGATTTTTGTGGCCCCAGCAAAGGGCACCTCTGCTGACCTCACGGCTGGAGGCACTGAAGTCCTGTGAAAGAACAGTTGGAATCTTTTAATGTGAATAGACTGACCCAATTCCCTCCCCCTTGTTCTCAGCAATGGCTCCACTGATTTCAGTTAATCCTTCCAAAAACACTTAGCCCGAGGCAAAGAGAAATAGTAAATGAGATAAATTTTGGCAAAATGACAAGGGAACAAAAGGAAGTGTTTATAATGGAGAGCAGTGATGGACATTATCTGTGGGTCTCCAAAGTTCTGGGGGTGTTGAACCCCTCCAGCTGAGCACAGAGCTGCAGAGATTTGAACTGTGGAGACCATTCCACACCAGGGAAGCTGAGCTGGCATTTGCAGGATTTCTCTTTGTATCCTGCTTGGCTTGAGTGAGCCAGGATCACAGAGGAGTTGGTCAGGACATTTTCTGCTCCAGCTCCATCTCAAGCAGGGACAGGCAGAGCAGGTTGCTCTGGACCATGCCCTGGTGGGTTTTGAACATTTACAAGGATGGAGACTCCACAGCCTCTGTGGACAACCTGTTCCAGTGTTCTGCCACCCTCACGTTGTCTTTCAGTGGAATGTCCTGGAATTCAGCTCTTCTGGCAGAACTGATACAGGTTTCTAAAAGCTTTGAAACTAATTAATTGCTGCACAAAGGAAAAGGCAAACCTCTCTCTTTATCTCACTTAGCTGAATCATATCTTACTTTGTTGTGCTCCTTCCCTGCTGTGGAAGGAGCTGTGATTACATTTGCAGACAACACGTGAAGTCAAAGAGAAAATCTTGCACTGCAAAGCAGTCAATGAGGGGAGGAGTGAGGGGAAGAGGAGAGAGGAGGGGGACAGGACTCATCATAAATATTTGGACAGTTTTAGAGTAGATCATCAGAAACTCCAGTATCCTGCCCTGACAGTGACTGAGAACAGCTTTACACCCCTGAAAATCTGCCAGTCCATGAGAGAAAACAGAAAAAACCACTGGGATAACTGAGGGAGACCCCTGCTGCTGTCACTATACACAGCTTTTCCTCCCAGTATTATTTTTACAGTGGGATGCATGACTATGCACCAGAAAGTGTGCAGAAAAGCCCCAGACTCATGAAATCACCCACAGTACGTGGCCAGCAGAGCCTGTGTGGGATTCTGTGCTCTTCCTCATGCCTTGGCTCAGCTGTCAGTGCTGACTGTGCCCTTTCCCACCAGGGGGAACTGACCATGACCAGCGACATGGAGACCTTGCAGAACTGCCTCTTCCTGGGCACGGTGCCCGAGTCCTGGGTGAAGAGATCTTACCCTTCCACGGCCAGCCTGGCCTCGTGGTTTGCTGACCTGCTGGCCCGCATCAGCGAGCTGGAAGCCTGGACCAGGGACTTCTCCTTGCCCTCCACACTGTGGCTCGGAGGGTTCTTCAACCCCCAGTCCATCCTGACAGCCATCATGCAGACCACAGCCCGGAAGAACAGGTGGCCACTGGACAAGATGACGTTGCAGTGTGATGTGACCAAGAAGAGCAGAGAGGATTTTGCCAGTGCTCCTCGTGAGGGGGCCTACGTGCACGGTCTGTTCATGGAGGGAGCACGCTGGGATGCTCAGGTGAGCTCTGCAGGGCTCTGGGGCTGAGGGAGAAGCCACAGGTGTGGCCCTGCAATTCTGATCCAACACTCTCCACTTATTTGTCATAAATCATCTCCCTCTCTGCAATGGTTTTCCATGAAGATAGGAAATTAGGGAAAGCTGTGCTCTCCCTGATGGATGCCATTTCATCACATCTCCTTGCGCAGTTCCTAGCTCCAGGCTGTTTTTCGCTCTGGAAATGGCCTGAATTGGGTCTGGGAAGCCACAGGCAGTCAGGAACATTGGCAAGGGCTCTGCTGGAAGATGGCAGTGAGGATCTCATGGGGGTCAGCTCAGATCTCTGTTCTCAGGGTCTGGGCTCTGCTCACAGCAGCAGAGCAGGGACCAGCCCTGTCCAGCTCCCAGCTCTGCCCCCACTGTTCTCTGGCTCTTCCCTTCTCCACACACAGCCCTTGGGAGATCACAGCCCCTGCCAAAGGGAGCACTGGATTTCTGCTGCCCTAAAAACCTGTCAGAAATCAGCTGGACACACCAGAACAGAGAGAGCTTTTAAAAATTCCTGGTCCTGCATGTCAAATTCTCCATTTAAGAACATTCCAGTGCCTGCTGTTATGTTTTCTTTGCCACTATGACCAGAAAATGAGTTCTGTCTGGGTTTTACCAGCTGGAAGTGAAGAGTGAGAGGTTTTGGTGGTGCAAAGCCAGAGATCTTTGGGAAATATTTGGTTTCCCCCCTCTGCCTCCCTCCAATAACTGGTCGGGGCAATTGCATCCAGCAACGGAATTTGTCTTCAGAGACCATCCCAACACCAGTAAATGTGTTTTTCTGATTACATTTTCCTTATGATTGAAAGATACTGAGCAATTATGTTCATGGAGCCATTCATAATCTCTGGGTATCATGCTTCAATTTATTTCAGAAAGGAAAAGGATATTTTTATGGGTTGCTGCTCCCGCTGAAATATCATTTCTACCTAGTGGAACTATTCATTTTACCTATAATCCAGTGAGTACCAGTGTGCATTAATGCATACAGGACTTTTAAAACAGGTGCACAACTCTTTTGGGTTGTGTACTCCATCCAAATTAATCCTCTGATAAAAATGGCCAGGCCATGTTTAGAAGAATTCCTCTGGGGAACACCTCCACTTTTAAAAGAATATTTCACATTTAGGTTGTGCCTCCAAAAAAGGAAAGAGTCCATCTATGTTCTGCTACTCACATTTTTCTATTTATTTAAACATTTATGTTTGCCCTTGGGTGTCTTAAATTTATAAAACATTCATTACAAAACAGCAGGCAGCTATTAGATGAAATGAAACTAAGCAGATTATTTTGGGTGCAAATGATCTCTTTCTGCAGCCCTGTTAAAGTCACTGGGACTCAGTGACAGTCAGAAGGATGCTGTGACTGGGGACACTTGGAGACCTTTTATCTCAAGCTGCTGACTGATTCTTGGCTTTCTTGCTGTCTGCAATAGAGAGTTTGATGCCAAAAGTGATGGGACAAGGGCAGGGTGGGTTTCACACCACGTGTACTCCACAGAGTTTTGGCAGCTGTGCACAGGTCAGCCATGGAGCCACAGGATCCCAGGCTGCCTTGGGCTGGAAGGGACCTTAAAAATCAGCTCATTCCACCCCACCATGGGCAGGGACACCTTCCTCTATCCCAGGCTGCTCCAAGACCCATCCAGCCTGGCCTTGGGCACCTCCACAGGGAAGAGTTTTTCACTCCCCTTGTCCACCTGAAGCCACTGACCCCATCACTCGGGGACCACCTTGGAGTGCTCCCTGCTGGCTCCATGTCCCCCTCTCTGCTGGCTCCATGTCCCCTTTCCTGCTGGCTCCATGTCCCCTTTCCCTGCTGGCTCCTTCCCTTCTGCTCCTTGTCCCCTTCCCTGCTGGCTCTGTGTCCCTTTCCCTGCCCATAATGACTCCATCCCCAAGACAGCCAGGCCATGGAGCCTCCCCTAAAATGGAAAATGTAAACCCCCTCCCTCTGAATTATTATGATTTTGAAATTAAGGGGCTCTCAGGCAAAGATATGGCAGCAGGAATAACCGTTCTTTACTAGGGAAGAAAATAAAAATAAAGTAAACAATGCAGTAAAATAAAAAAACACTTGACAGAGTCAGAATAGACCCTGACACTCTATGAGTCAGGGTGCTGGCAGCAGTCCAATTGGAATTGTGGCTGCAGCCCTCCTGCAGGGACAGGTGTGATTCTGCTGGAGCAGGGATCCTGTAGAAGGGTGTAGTCTTCCTCTGAAGATCCAGTGGAAGAGGCAGCTGGTTCTCTGGGAATCCAGTGGAAAGGCTGCTCTGGTGTCCCAAAATCTCAGATTGTATCCAGGCAGGAATGCTTGTCTCCTCCCCTGGGTGGAGCATCTCCCAGTGGGATGATGGAATTTTATCAGCCCTGCAGGGGCACTCAGTGGCCATCAACAGCAGAGATCTCCTGGAGGGAGGATTGGCTGTGGGAGAGAGAGAAAATTGCCCAATTAACAGAAGATAACTGCCCCACCCCTAACAGATGGCAATAGAATACACACTGCTTGGCAATCTAGGACAGACCCTCCCCGTGCAGGGGTTCAGGGCTGTGGGTCCCAGGGGCTGCATTTGGGCCCAGCTGTCACCACCCCTGCCTTGTGACAGCTCTTGGTGCCCTCAGCCCTGGTGACCCGTGGCACTGCCACACGGCCACTCTCAGTTTCCTGCTGGGAATCCAGGACAGCAGAAGTGAGGGATCCTTTAGGAGCTGAGGCTGAGCTCTGCAGGCACAGAACGGTGGTTTTGCACCACGAGGGCTGTGCTGCTCGTCAGGAAGAACTGCTCTCAGAACAGAATTAATTTCTGATGATGAGAGCGATAAAAAATGCAAATGAGAATCAGCCCAGACATAACAAAATGATATCTTACATAGAGGTACCTCAGGAAGATTTCAGCTCTTGTTAACCCAGAAACAGGTAGAATATCTCTTGGAAATTTCATTTGAAGTATTCTCAGCAGTAAAAAAGAAGAGAAAAACCTAATTAAAAACCAGTCTCAGAAATGAAAGGTGTGAATTTAAGAAGAGTGCATAATAATGTTTCACAAACAGCTACTTTGCAAGGTATTATACGAATTATTTAATGTTTGTTCAGCACGTTGGAAATATAAAATCCTAAATGAGAGTTGGATTTTTCATAGCTGAGCATAACAGATGGCATTAGTACAATTAAACCGAGGTGTGTGGCAAGAGGGATGATTTTTCTTGCTTGTTATAGAACTAAATAAACTACTGGAGAGGTTGAATCTCACCCCACAGCTCTGATCCGAGAGCATTTGGAATAATGATGATATGTTAAGCTCAGCTGCAGTGAGAGGCAGTTTCTTTAGTGCTGAAAAGTTTCGTTTCTATTTCCCTGTTTGTTTTCATTTGGTCTCTCTAGCCTCCATTAGGCAGTTTTCCCTGGAAATGGATTGATGTGCAGGGTATTTTATTGTCAGGAAGAGAGAGAGAAAATGTCAGAGAGACCCAAATTAGAGAAACAAACTTGATTTCTTGCCCTGGCAGGGTTCTCTCCCTCTCCTGCATTAGGCAGCCTGCTGGGCAGGGCATTGCTTGGAGGAGAATAATGGGACTTGATATTTAATGGTGATATTCCCTCAGAAAAGTCATTTTGAATTCTCTTGGTTGCATCATGAGAGTGGGAACAAGCCTGTTTTGGGGCTGTTCTCCATCCCAGTGGTTCAGGGGTACACCTTCACTCCCACCACAAGCAGCACCTCCCATGAGGTGATTCTGGTCTGGAATCCTCTGAGAAAGAGATGCATGAGAGTAATGCCAGGATCACTGAGCTTGGAAAAGATCCCCCAGCCCATCCAGGCCAAGATGTGTCTGATCCCCCTTGTCCCCAGCCCCGAGCACTGAGTGCCACCTCCAGGTGTTCCTGGAACATCTCCAGGGATGGGCACTCCAAACCTCCCTGGGCAATGTTTAATCACCCTTTCAGCTAAGAAATTCCTGCTGATGTCCAACCTGAGCCTGCCCTGGCACAGCCTGAGGCCTTTTCCTCTTGTCCCGGTTCCCTGGCAATAGGACAAGAGGAAATGGCCTCAAGCTGCCCCTCAGTAGAAACCAGGACAAGAGAAGTGAAACTTTGTTGATAATATGGCTGTACAGGTCCGGGAACATTGTTCCCACACAAATCCAGCTTGGATGTGAGGGTTTGAGCATCTGGTGGGAGTGCAGGCAGCTGGAGCCTTGAGATGATCTACGTTGGGGAGGGTCGTGGTGAGACAGGGAGCTCTTGGATCCAGACCTCCTTCCTCAAAGAGGCTCATCCAGCCTCTTTGACCCTGGAGAAGCTGTTTGCACCTCCCCAGCAGCTTGGATAAAGCCCACGGGGGCTCAGGTCCCTCAGCTGGTGGACACCTTGGAGCTGTCAGCTGGGACAGCCCCTCTGGTTCCTGGGAAGGGCTGGTTCAGTGCCTCAGCCTCCCTGTGGAAAATGCTGCCTTGGAAAAAACAGAATATTCGTAGCACTGTGGGAGGTTTGAAGAAAACCACACAAGGAAAAGTGGCTCATGTCCATGAGGGAAGTTTTGTCCAGGTCAGCAGCCCTTTGTCTCCTTCTCTCTGCAGACCGGGACGATCGCGGAGGCCCGGCTCAAGGAGCTCACCCCGGCCATGCCTGTCGTGTTCATCAAGGCCATTCCTGACGACAAGCAGGACACCCGGGGCTTGTACCCGTGTCCTCTGTACAAAACACGCCAGAGGGGCCCAACCTACGTCTGGACTTTCAACCTGAAAACCAAGGAAAACCCGTCCAAGTGGGTGCTCGCTGGTGTGGCCTTGCTGCTGCAGGTCTGAGGCACCAGCACGGCCCCTGCTCTGCAAACCCCTCACAGTGTCACAGTTTAAACAGTTCAATGCTGAGGTTAACCCAAATTCCATCTCTCTGCTGGACTCCCCAGTTATCTCTGTGTCCTGGGGATGTGACCCAAGCAGGGTCTGCGAGGAGGTGACAGAGGTGCGGAGTGACACGGCCCAGGTTCGTGGCTGCTGTAAATCAATATCCTGTAATTCCTACTGTGCTGCACTGCAAGAGCCCAGCCCAGAGCCGGATACACCACACCCAGAGAGTGCTAAACTTAAATCTGGTTTTTATTTCTCTTCATGGTCCAAAGTAGTTTTAAAATCATCAATCAGTAAAATCAGTAGCCTTCTCCAGAACACTTGAATAGTCCAGTGACTTGTGAAATTCTCCAGAATTTATTCCTTTCTGCGGCATCCACATTCTCTGAAAAAAAATCCCTTTGCCCAGGATTTTTCTCCTGGGAAGCTGAGAAGCCTCAGAGAAAAAAGAAAACAATAATTATCTTGTTTGCTTCTCCTGTGTTGTGCTCATGTGTGGAATGTGTTTGGAGATTGTTTACCCACAGGTGGTTGTTTCATTGGTTTTGTGTGAATTGCTTTCACTCTTTGGCCAATCAGGGCCAAGCTGTGTCAGGACTGGAGAGAATCACGAGTTTTCATTATTATCTTTTTTAGCATTTAGTAAGTATCCTTTCTGTATTCTTGAGTATAGCATAGTATTCTTTAATATAATATAGTATCATAAAGTAATAAATTAGCCTTCTGAGAACATGGAGTCAGCTTCATCATTCCTGCCTTCATCGGGGCACTCCCTGCAAATACAATACCTTTCCCTCCATGCTTCTTTGTGGTGTGTGTGATGTTGTAAGCTGGGAGGTGAGCAGATGTTGTGGTTATCAGCTGTGTGTTGCTAACACTCCTGTAAATCTTAGAAACATTAAAAATGGTGTTAATATCCAGTGTGCTCAATGGAATCGATAGTGAAAGCACAGCACAGGGATGATTTAGGAGGAATATGTCATGATGATAGATACTTACTAATAAAAGTAATTGTTCCTGGAATAGTCTCTGGAAGCTGCAGGTTTAGTGAGGGTGAGGAGAGCACAGGGCTCAGCTGGGAGGAACACCCCTCCTGACCTCATGATCCTCCTGTGGGGACACTGCAGACCCTCTCAGCTGGACAAACCCCCCAAGTAAAGGAGCACCTCGACAAACACCACTCATCTGGAGAGGTCCCCACTTGGCAGCTCTGGCCCTGAATGGGCTCAGGAGCTGGGGAAGGGGGAGAATCACCAGCCAGTGCTGCTCCAGTGTTCACAGGGTGGCATTGAAACTGAAATCTGACAGAAATGCAGCAAGCAGCAGTGCTGGTGTCCCTCTCCAAGCTCTGTCCTGCTCATGCCTTGCAGCATCTGGAAGCACCATTCAGTCATGGCTTTGCCTGTCAAAGTGCCTTCACCTCAGCCTGGGAGGTTTCACACTTTACCCTCGGGGAGGGAGGGAGCTGGGGGCGTGGGGGGCTTGGCTGCTGCTGGGGTTAAACCAGGACAGCATTTCTGTGGGCACAGTTTGGTTTCTCAGAGCCTCATCTCAGACTGAGTGGTTTTATGGGTGCCTTTGGCACGGGGCAGAAGATGTGGTGAAGTCTCTGCCAGTCCAGGGATCAGCTGTGCTCCCACTGAGTCATCCAGGAGGGTGAAGCCCTCAGGCTTTGCAGGAGAGCCACAGGAACTCTCCTGCCCTGAGCAGCACAGCAGATCTCTTCCTGCAGGAATGAGAACATCCAAAATCCTTGTCCTTGCAGTCCTGGAGAACGACAGACTTCTGGATGAAGGTAAGGAGGGAAAACTCTCTGGTAAGAGCTTTGTTTAATTGCTAGGCACTGTCCCCAAGGCACAACCCCGAAAAATTAATGATGAAGGAGCTGGTTGTGGCTTAGCAAAAGCCATCTGCAAATATCTAATGGAAGGGAGAGAGCTGTCTTAAGCTGGCTTTTTAAAATTGCCTCTAACCCATAAATGAGGCAACAGGGTCTGTAGTGTATCCCACATAATGAGTACCTGCTAGAAGAGGTCTGTTAGCTGGGGAAAGCTTTGCTATTAAATTAAATCCCTCCCAATTTAAATTAAAACCTGCCAATTAGACATGAAATGTAAACTGGTCACTTCCCACAGCTCTGCAAAGTTGGTCACATTAAATTCTCTGTGTATTTCACCATGCAGGAGGTTGAGATGCATGAACAGAGCACTGCTGAATTAAACACAAAAGAGAAGCAGTGGAAGGAAGTTCATTGTGCTCCAGATAATCCATCATGCTGGGTTAGTCCTTCACTGGGACATCTTCAATCAGGCACAGCTTGGCCTCGATGGTCTTTGAGATCTTTTCCAACCTCAATGATGCTGTTTGTGATTCCATGTGATTCTCAGTGCTCTGCATGTGGGATTTCCTGCCATTCTGGAGACTTTTAATATCCTTAGCTTCATTCCTCTTCTCTTTTAAAACCTTTCCTCCTTTCCCAGCATAGCAGGGTCTCTCTCCTCTCAGTGTTGCCCTCCAGGATGCCCCTGGACATCCAGGAAAGGAGAAGCTCAGCAACTCCCCAGGCACTGCCTGCTCTTTCCAAAGCCACAGCCTGAGCTGTTCCCTTGTCAGCTGAAGAAGAATGGTCTGTTGACAACAAAATGGATCCGATTGTTTTATTATATATATCTCCCTGCATAATTCACCAGTTGGGCAGGCAGGGTAGTGGGGAGATATTTATAGATACTAGAAATGTCACCAGGGTGCTCATTCTTCATCCTTTGAAAATCATCACAGGAAAGAGTTGGCTGCAAAATGCAACAAGAGGACGGTGAATAATTTGATGCTTTAGGGGGTGGAAAAAAATCTTGACAGGCGTGAGATTTTCCAGCCACATCTGCCCAAACCAGGCAATTAAATCCAGCTGGACAGGCTCTTCATTAGGAGAGATTCATTAGTCAAAGGTCAAGGTTTTCTGTCCATGAGCTCTTGGAGACAGCTGCCCACTTGGCACTGCCATGTGCACCTTTCTCTGCTCTCCTGGGCTGGGCTGGAGGACCCCAGCACAGGGAGGAGCTGGAGCTGCTGCAGAGCCCAGAGGAGGCTCCAGGATGATGCCAGGGATGGAGCAGCTCTGCTGGCAGGAAAGGCTGGCACAGCTGGCATTGCTCACCTGGGCAGGAGAAGCTTTGGGCTGAGCTCAGGGTGGCCTTGCAGGGCCTGAAGGAGCTGCAGGAACGATGGAGAGAGAATTGGCAAGGGATGGGGACAGGACACAGGGAATGGCTTCAGACTGACACAGGGCAGGGCTGGATGGGATCTTGGGAATCAGGAATTGTTCCCTGTGAGGTGGGCAGGCCCTGGCACAGCTGTGGCTGCCCCTGGATTCCTGGCAGTGCCCAAGGCCAGGATGGACATTGGAGATGGGAGTGACCTGGGACAGTGGAAGGTGTCCCTGGAACAGTGGAAGGTGTCCCTGCCATGGCAGGGGTAGATTGGGATGGGCTTTAAGATCCCTTTCAAGCCAGCCTATCCTGGGATTCTGTGATTTTCAGGCAGTTTAACAACAGAGAACATGTAGTTACTCACTTTTACATAAAGCTGGAGCCCCTGGGAAGTGCCTTTGCTACCACTGGAAGAAATCTCACCAGGCCATTGTCCAGGCCCAACCCTGAGGGTGCTCTCTGCCCTACAGCCCCTCCATCCTGACCCCACTCCTTCACCCAGCTCCATGACTGAGCTCCCCAAACGTGCTGAACCCCAGCCCTTCCTTCACCCCCCCAGCTGGGCAAACAAAGCTTTAAAACAATCAGGTTGGTGTTTTGGGCTGCCCAGGGGACCCCAGCCTGGCTCTCAGCCTTTCTTTGCATCTGTGGGGCTGCTTTGGGCCTGACTCCTCAAAAGGTCTGTGGTCAATTCGTTCACTCCAGTTTGGTGACATTTTCCAAAGAGATGAAAGCAAGAGAAGGCAAATTGTGCTATTGAACACTTAATGTCAGGTAAAATTGACTGAACTCTCCCAGGACAGAGAAATGGCTTTTCCACAGCCTGGGAATGTTGGACCTGCTGCAAATTATAATTGGCAGAGGAGCACAGTTCAAAGTAGAGCGTTCACAAATGCTTTGTAGTGGTGTCCCATATTCTGGGGTTAACCAGCTCCATTTTACTGCAACTCACAGAGCAAAGGAAGATGAGGAGTAGGCACAAAAAGGAGACCCTGGTGGCTGGGCAGGAGGTTGGCTCCACTGGGGCAAATTAATTGCAGCTATTCCTGGGCACTAGCAATGCCCAGGGATGCAAATTCTGCCCGTGTCACTGCTCGAGTGTTTACAGCACAAAAGTAGCTGTAACATATCAGCAAGATGCATTCGTTTTATAACGTGGCATTAATACATTTAATTAGCAATGGCTTATTAGATTCATGTCTGTTATTATGCATTGTTTTTTAAATGACTGTAATTGCCCAAACAAATCTACAAATGTATTTACCTTGTTCGTGGCTGTGAGCCTCATTTAAAAAGCTTTTAGGCTGCACAAGACGTTCATGGAGTTATAAGCAGCCCCTCTAATTGGAATGCTGGTGTTCCTGTCAGTGGAGAGGGTGATTTGAGGCTGGAAATACTTTTTCCAAAGGCCTTGAAACCAACTTATGTGTGCAAACTTTGGGGTTCACTTCAAGGAAACTCCTAAAGCATTCATCTTCATTAGTGCCAGAAGCCATGAGGCGAAACTCTGAATTTGGTATTTTGGTTCAATTTTCCTGAGAATCCATTGGGAGCTGGGATGAGGGAGCTGCCAGCTGGGACAGCCCCAGTGCCTGAGCCCCTCTGGTTCCTGGGAAGGGCTGGTTCAGTGCCTCAGCCTCCCTGTGGAAAATGCTGCCTTGGAAAAAACAGAATATTCGTAGCACTGTGGGAGGTTTGAAGAAAACCACACAAGGAAAAGTGGCTCATGTCCATGAGGGAAGTTTTGTCCAGGTCAGCAACCCTGGA